GACCCGCAACGCAGCGGACGGTGTGCGAAAACCGCAATCCATTGGGGCCCGCTGTCCAGTTCATCGGATCATACACCCTTCGGACGGAGTCAAACGTGCAAGGTGCCCAATGCACCTTGACACCCAATCGCGCCGGTGAACTGCCACGATCGTGAAGCTGTGTGGGTGTGGTTCGTACTCCTCCTCTGGGTTGGTTTGAAATCAAGGTTTTTGGCTAACTCCCCTAGGTGAACTGCCAGTGGTCCACCAACCCGATTATATTCCCGGATGTCGACTTTTCGTCGTCTCACTTTGGTGGGAAAACACCTCCACCCCACGAGAAGGCAATGAGTAGGGCTTCCTCAGCAGAGGCTGTTGGAGACACTTGGTCGTATGGGAGCATTTCGCGAGGTGCAAGTGACGGTGACCAATCGCAACCCTGGACACCTAACGCCGACCATACTGAGGCTTTTTGAGGCAGATGGGACATAAACAATGAGGGAGAAGAGATCTCTCTCATCTTCCGTGCCTGAGCCTAAAGTCTTGGTTCATCGGAAACACCTAGTGATATAACAACCAGCAGACAGTAGTGCTGTTCTTTTTGCCATTTCCTATCAGGTCAGAATGCTTGAAAACTTGGACGTGCACGGCTGGATTTTGTACTCTGTGGGTTAATCATGGTCGTTTTCCTTCTTTTCTCTAGCTGAAGTAGACGCAGGACCTGTGTTGTATCTTGCACGAAGTGAATTTTGTTACATAAGTGACGATGTTTTAATCAAACGAAACAAAATAGCAATACCTTGAATCTGCAGTGGCCGAGGTTTTTGGTCACATTATCACTCGTTTAAAATCCGCGGTGCGTTCCCGCTTCCGAACGATCGATTGGGCTTGTTCATGATTCACGAACAGTTTTACATCCCCCGATTGAATACTACTTAGCTTGTTTTGAAGCAACTCAAGCCTCATCCATGTACGTTGACGTTTTCACTCAAATGAAAATGACAACAACTCCCTAAACCGTTTATCCCTCTCTCGTTCGATCAACATTCTCTTCCTCATGCAATCTTTCACTGTTTTAGGGTACCCGACAGCGAAACAGACACAGCAGACCAAATTGTTCTTACCGTGGAGCACTGGTGCAATCGAGTTCTCAACAACAGATCCACTACTCAGTTTACCGCGTCCAGTCCAACGGATCCACACGTCGCACCGTTCCTTTTACCGACTGCGGTTGTCGAGCCGCTGAAAAAACAAATTGGCGATGTGCTGAATGCCATTCATCCAATCTACGCGCTCATGTGTGAGTTTAAATTTGTCGATCTGGATAGCAATTCTATTGACTCTGCTCCGTTGTTCCTTTTTAACACAAAGCAATAGGATGGGTTTCCCGATGCTCTGTATTCGCTCCCCTCTCCCGTGGATAAATGACACGTGAATCATATCGCCTTTGAATAAGCTCTAGCTTTCAAACTTCTCGCCCCTACCTTGTCGGTCAAATTCGGACTAGCCGAACCATCGATCCATTCGTGAATGCCTAAAGGAAAGGTATGGCTTTAATCAATTGCCTGTTACTATTCTAACCCACATGAGCTTTTTCAATCATCGAAGTACTTGCCCCATATTTCGTTTAATATAGTCTGGACTGAGGCAAATACGAAATTGTTATCATTATAAAATCATTATGATATTAATACCGGAATCTTCACGACGTGAGTGGAGACCATATAAATAAGTAGTTCCGATACTGATCCCGAGAACCACTTGTCTGAACCCACCGTGTCCATGATCCTCCAGGTAAGCAATTTCCCCCAACGCTCATTCACGGGATTCAATATGATATTGCCCCGCATCAGACACAGCCTATTCGTAACAATATGCACTTATGTCCTTGCTTCTATTAGTTGAATGCTATTAAAATGTACGATTTCTCGGTTTTGACGATCGTTTCCAGTGCATCGGTTGTAAAATAACAAAACCACAGTCAAACAAATAGCTAGAATTTATTTATCTCAGTAAAACAGAGACTTGATACGGGTATCTTACTTTCATCTTGTCCATGTTCTGGCTCCGCTGCCACTAAATTTAACCATTGTCTTGCTTCGATGTGATGGGTTCTCTCCCTTGACGGAAAATTCCGTTGATTGCGCAACAAATTGGGCTTATGTTTACATCGAGGAACTTGCTCTAGTCAAAAACGGAGTTATCGGATTTATGTGTCACTCAGCTTCCATTATATGCCAAAAGCTTTTGAATGTTTCATCCCATTTGGGTATGGTGACAACGAGACGCTTATGCAATGAGCCGCACACATCCAGGCCAACTTATATGTTTCTTGGACGATATTTTCAGTTCTTTCAATATTAGGGATAATGTGTAAGTAGTAGCCAAATAATTTATCAATTTATCGAAGCTAGAATACTTTCATTAACTAGCTTATTTATCGTGCACTGAATGAAAAGCGAAGCAATTTAGAATACGTGTGTTCAACGCTCTCATGATACAGGAATCGTTTGTGAGAAAGAATGAATTTCCATGACGCTTGCATAAAATATTTTACAAATCTGAGCTGTATCTTTCGAACTACTACAAATTTTATCGCGACACTCGAGGTCGCACAAATTCAAATGGCGATAGAAGGGAATTAAGAACATTGCAGTGGGAGATGAAAATCAGGAATAAATACACTTCACCCGTAGCCATCAATATACAAGTAAGATATTGGCGACTGAAATGTATTTGCCTAATGAGAGTGATGTTGCTCGAATTTGATCAACACTTGTGTATAATCGAATAAGGAATACAAATGGAACACGGTTACGGAAAGTGCGGTTTACTGATTGAGCAGCCAAAGATCTCGCACCAGTGGTCAAGAGAGAAAACAGAAGGCGGGCAAAAGACAAATAAAGTCCGAACTGTGCGAACAGTTAACTGTCAGTGGTGCCCCACGGTGTAGTACCGGACACGTGTGTGTGTGTGTGATTAGCGCGCATTATGGTTAAAAGCCAAATGAGTAATTTCGGGGAGTTCTAATTCCGATCACCGTAGAACAATCTGCGACAGCCAGAGTTTGTTTGTTTTCCTGGCAGTAATTTTGCGAAAACAATCCCGTCAAGGAAATTCGAAGATGTACTTTCACCGTCTGTTCTTATAGGATATATTCTTCTAGTGCGCTGAATGGAACGAGAACGAAGCCTGGACAATCTTGTAGAAACTGAGATATTTCCAGGGCTCTGTATTGCTCACTGAACTATTCCGTTTCAACTGTGATTACCTTGAACTGTGTTCCACGTTTGTTCAAGTGCAACGCAGTGGTGTAATTTTGGCTTCAAACGATTACATTTAGTAAGTCAGTTATCTAGTACTGACCTATTAAAGAAATAGACAGCACGAGACTGCACCTTGATGTGTTGTGATGGCTTGTGCACCTTCATGACCCAACGAGCTACACAGGATGGCTTTTGTCAAGCCAGATGTTATCATGCCTGGAAGGTCAATGGGTAGAGCTCAGAGGAAGTTCAGTCTCATGGTCCTCCAGGTTGGTGGTTCGACTCGAGTTAGCGTCTCAGTCGGTAAAATGGTAGGGGAGTAGTTGATCCAAGTAAATGGGCGTCTACTTCGCTTCACCCGCTGCCTTGCGGTTAGGTTTTTGTCAGAGCAAAAGGCTTTGGTTGAGAACCCCAATCGTTCCCCTGCTTAGCGGCTGGACAACTTGGCAATACCGGTCCATCAAACTTCCATGCATGAGCGTTGCTAGTTTGTCAGCGATCAGTGAGATTTGCTTCCCTGTAATTTGGCTGTAGGATGATGATGGTGTGCTCTCCCACTCTAACTGTTGCGGTTAGTAAGATGACACGCGCTGGGATCCCATATGTAAACCTGGTTAGAACAAAGCCTTTCTGTTCCGACATTTTTCTTCGACGAATCACGGACAAAGGGGATAACCGTCTTTTCCGATGGATTTCGTGCTGAGCCTTCGATCGTCCATTGCCTAGTCAGAATCTTTTCAGATTTCTCCAGGTCGGTGGTGGCCAAGTGGTTAGGTCACCAAATTGTGACTCGGGTTCAAACCGCTCCACCGCCACCCGTTTTCCCTCTATCTCTATTTTCCCCAGGCAGCCTTTGTATGGCCGCAGCCCCCTTCCTGAAAGTTGACTGNCCCCTTCCTGAAAGTTGACTGTACATTTGTATATTCAATAAATAGAAAAAGGAAGTAAAATGAAAAAATCTTAGTTTGCGAAGTGTCAGGTTGTTGGTCGGACCCACCGGTCAAGACGGTGGAAAATAATTCAGCCAACCAATCGTTAGGTATATACATTCCCGTGTTCTCTCTCTCTTTTCTATAATTAACCATGATTTTTCATAGTAAACGAATTTAATTTTGTTACTCTTTCACTACCTGTGGAGTTCCTATCTGGATGAGAAACGTTACCGAAAAACGAATTCAGTATCGAGAAAGTCCCCGGGTGGTTACAGCAGAGAAGCATTCAAGTTTCACTGCAAATCGAGTGCAGCTATTTTTTCGTATCGGCCGCACTTTATCATCTGGAATCAACCTTTTGTAGAAATGAACATTAAAAAAACAGTCGTACTGTAAAACATAATGACTGCATTTGGAATAAAAACGAGCACCGTGGATATGAACAAGCCGTTTTCGAGAGACAAATGGGTCATATCCACGAAACAACCCGGGCAAAAATATGCATACACATTTTCCCTGGTTACAGTGGTTTAGTGTATCTCTTATGGAAGTGGCATATATGTTAGACCTTCATACGGTCAAATATTGCACTAAGATGGAGGATAGCGGGGGAGGGGGAATTTTGTAAAGTTTTTCACATCACTGCATTTCTGCTTCCTCCTTCCTGAAAATGGCATCATTGTATATTCAGTAAAAAAAATGAAAAATGAAAAAAAATAAATCAAATTGAAATGTGTTCTACGTGTGATAGATCTGTTTCCATGGTGATTCCGTGGCGCGGATAAATCTCTTGTGTGCGCATATTTCGAATGTGGAAACAAATGAATTTGTATGGATGAGGCGTTGATGGCACGCAATAGAGCATTCTGAAGTCTGATTGAAGCTTCAGTTGTTTGAGGAAAAATTGGCGCTTCTTGTGACACTTTCCAGCTAAAACAACACTGTTTGTTCCGTTTGGACAGTTCCCTCGCTATCCCAACAATAAATGTCACGTTACACGCACAACTCAATGAATTTTTAACCCGGGATAAAGCTTGCATATCTGTCAAATTCTAGCAAGGACAACGAATAAAACATCGCGTTGGTTGGAGGGTCGCTCTCAGGCGGCGTTTCATCAACAGACTGACTGTTCCCATTATTATTTCCAGTAAGATCCGTTCACTCCTGGGAAAAGTTGATGAAGTCAAGAGTATGTTGCATGAAAAGTAGGCAAAAACTTTGGAAGTATTATGCTCCAGGAAAGTTGGCTACATCCTGAAATTGAGAACGGCGTTCTCCTGCTTGATGGGTTTGACATCTTTCGAGATGATCGGATTGTGAATTTCAATAAGAGAGATGGTAGAGTAGTCGCTTTTGTCAAACGTACGTGGTGTAACAGCTCTCATCTTCTGTTTCATTTTAATACCAGAAATATCAACTGCATTGCCGTTCAATGTAAACCCCGTTTTCTTAGTAATTTTCATCATATCCTGCTAGCAAACATGTACATTGCCCCTGAAACGCCCACTTCTGACATCCAAATGTTTTCCGACTCTTTCTCAACACAATTCGTGACAGACTTAGACCAGTCACTGTGTATTGTGGCTGGTGATTTTAATCGTTTCGATATTTCTTTCTTAAGAACTATAGATTTGGTTAATCTTGTGCACTTTCCCACTCGTTTGGAGGCCCAGCTTGACGGCATTTTTGTAAATATTCCAGATGTCTTCCTTACAGAAAAACGAGCCTCTATTGGCACGTCCGACCACTGTACAATTCTTTTGCACCCAAAAATCTATGGTACAATGTTTCATCGTCAACAAGCACAGGTAGTATCTCGAACAATACGAAGGGGGAAGTTTACTCATAATAACTTATCTCGATTCCAAGATATGATCTCCTAAACCGATTTTCTTTTTTATCCAATTCCAATAATTGCTACAGATGTGAACATCTCACCGGCTACCCTTATTTCTGTTTTGATTTGTTTTGTCCGATCGAGACAATGTATACCCGTACTGACAGCTTTTCATCACCTCTCCTAAAACGCCTTCGACGTAATAAGGAGAAGGCATATACAAATGTCAGGCGCTACGCTGTTAAACGACTCTCAATTATCGTCAAGGCAGAGAGTCAGCGCTAAACTCAGATGTATGTCGAGACCCGCCTGGGCAACCAGAGCTGTCGCGAGATGTGATCG